AATTTAATTAATTTAAAATTAATATATATATATCTACGTGTATGTATATGTGTTTGCGCGCGTGTAAAAATTACTCCGAAAGCCAATTTCAGCGGGATGTTGGATAATTTCTTGATCCACTTGTGAAGTCATTAGAATTAGAAATAGTTGGAATTCATTAAGGAAGAAAAATGCGCCATTCTGAACAGCAATGTATTGATTCTTTAAATTTTGATCACAGATTTGCATCCAACGTAGTTATTGTAATGTGTATATATATGAGAAGTTTTTACTATTTTTATTTTTAAAAAATGTCGAGGGATTTGCATCTAACTAGATTGTAATGTATATATATGTGACAAGTTTTTACTGCATTTATAAAAAAAAAAAAAAAAAAGTCGAGAAATCTCTACATAAAATATAATTTATTTTATTATTGCGATAAATTCTATGTTCAAATTTATGCGTTTTATTCTTTTGATGCAGTTTTTTCTCACCCTATTTAATAGAATTTCTTTATATATAAAAGTTATATATATACTTCTTGTTGTAGCAAAAACATATATAATGATTCTAGAATTAATGGCAGTGAACGCAGTCCACCTTGTTAAGTATTTTCAATTATTATAACCTGCTGTTTTTTTTTTCCATAAAACCTTGTTCGCAAGACCTTGCGCTAATCTTTACCTCCTACTACTTCACTAACTTTGCACACGGGTGTATGTATCGTATCTGTTATCGCATTATGCATTTTTATTTGGTTATCGTGATAAGTATTGCGCAATTAGTGTAATCTACCTGAAAAAGACCTTCGTCCAATATCAGACTCCAACATTCTGTATTCCCTTGGCACGCGTGCTCGCTGGTTTGCGGATGTGGTTTAACGAAGGCTTGCTGCACGTCATTCATGTGTATCCTCTTCACTCGAAATTACGAATTAGACACGAGGATACGCACCGGTCTTCGTACTGACATTAAATTAACCGAATATTATAACAATTTTCTTTTTCTTAATAAATTTCCATCCTTCTGGTAAAAATTGAACATCTAATCGTCGCAAATCTTGATTAGTTTCAATCAGTTATGATTTTTACTAACGCACTGTATTGTGTTATTACAAAGAGTATTATTTTTGCATTCAGGCGAAAATCTTATTCCACTGGCAATTCTGTGATGTACAACATATCATCTTGAAAAGCATAAAGCTAAGATTTGTGTATTCAACGTGGGCGGTCTCATGGAGTAACCGTGAGAAGGGTGTCTTGGCCTCGTTCAAATCGCTACGAATCTCGTATAAGTGGTGCGTTTTATAGAGATTGTCATTATATTAGCTTTATCACTCCCATCGCATGTAGTTTAATCTTAAATTCGATATCTTACTCATCAGTTTAGTATTCGCGTGAAATTTTCGAATTTAGACCGTAGGCGTATGAAACTTTATGTAAATCACACAAACTTTGTAAAAAAGTCGCTGTCTCATCAAACAAAGAAGACCGAGACGAACTGATCGCGGTAGTTCAACGTTCTCATTTTGCAACCAGTTTTTCATTGACTATACGAGTGTTCTTCCGGTGATAGTACGTGGGCGAGAAACTTGGTATCTTCGCGAGAAGGCGTGATCCTAGCGTCTACTTCTTTTTAACTGGAAGAACAATTCCGACACTACACTATCGCGGTGGAATCGCACTTAGTTTGAGGAACCTTTGGAACCGCTTATCGCGCCTATCTACGAAACGGATGTTCACCGGCGAGATCACCTGTTCTCGGGCAAGCGTGTAGCTGACTTTTCCGCGAGGTTCGCGTTCACTTCCAATCGCGTGTCGTCCGTCGAGTGTCAGCGCCGACGGCCAGGATCACAAACATTGCGATCGCGTCCACCGCAGTCCAAGGTAGTAGGGGACCATGCTATCTCTCCCATTGGCGGGGCTTTTCAGATGTGTTCCTCCACGTGTACGCGAAGAAGTCCTGCATATACGTACGCGTTGCGTCACGTTTCCTCGCTAGACGAATTCGCCGCGGACTACCTGGGTAGGTCATTGTCACGATCATCCTCTCCTACAACGATGTGATTTCCCGACGGAATGCATTCTATTACATGCCCCGGTAAGAGCATCGAAAATCAAATCCGGGGAATTGCCTACTTTCTAAAAAGTTTCCGTGATGTTTTCGTATCCCACAGTTTCGTCTTGAAAACTTACATTTCATATGTACTTCGTTAACCCGCTAATGCACCTGCTGACGAGATTTTTGCCCAGGGCACAATTTAATTATTTCGTTTTTGTGCATACCATTAAATTTTATATATGTATATATAGATATATGGATGTATCAAATCATGAATATATTAAAATATTCGGGTCTTTCCTATGTGCAAAAATAATTTTAGAAGCAAGGGTAAAATATTCCTGTTTTAAAAATTCTGGATTGTTGAAAAAAAATACCAAGATGATTATCACACACGTAATATACAGCTCTATGCAATGTTTTGTATCAGCAATGATATCTTTAGATTGCAGCGCAATTGGTCTGTCAAGACTGATGCAATAATTACGTACTTCTGCAATAACTACGTATTTCTGCAACATATTTGTTTCTGTATATATAAAAATGTAATAATAGCATTATTATATCATTATAATTAATAATCGTCGACTATAAAGTCGAAGTATTTGTGCTAAAGTGCATAGAAAAACGAATAGCATATTTTTATATACTATTATTATTTCTGTTTTTTATATAACGTGAGACTTTCGATTTCTCTCTGTCTTTAAATCTTCGTTTAATTTTATATATCTCTCTTATATATAAATTTTACATATATTGACATATATTTTTCTTATTATATTTAATGTTTTTACAGATATGCAAATACGTAGATTTTGCGATTGTATCCAAAAATAATGTTTTCATTACTTAGGAAGTACGACATCGCGTTTAATATCTATTGCGTCTGTAAAACTGAAAAGTGCCTTTCAAGCATTATACTCGCAACATTGCCAAGATACTGTGTGATAAAACATGATTTATACTTTATAAAATGCTAAACAAAACACACGACTTACGAAGCACTGAGTTCACGCGCATTCTAATAAGCACGATCTATTCAAATAGTAGAACTTGTTCCCCGCGAGTGTAATAAAATTCTATAACGCTATAAAGCGATAATGAGCAAGAAATAATCTTAATATTGAACACGCCGAGTAATATGTCTTATAAATAAAGTGTTGCAAATGATAATAGGTTTGAGTAGCAACGAGTATGGAAGAAAATTTTCAAAAGATTTAGCTCTTTAAGAAAAAGATACAAAGAGTGTTCAAAATATATCTATCTATCACAAAAACGTTTTATGGTTAATAACCGACCATGGCAGGCGGAAAGTTATTTCTCAAAAATATGATTATCATTGCTAACTGTCGTTAAATGATAAATTTCTGATAAATAAAAAATAATTATTTGTTTGTTATAACACTATACGTTGAGTAAAGTGTCATTGATGGTAAACGATGAACTATCGATGAACTCCCAGAAAAATGATGTGATATCGCAGCAATCAGGCTACGTAAAGTACAAAGTAAAAACCAAAAGTGATAATTACAATCAAGGAGTTGGCCTTTTGCGAACTGTAAAAATATATCGCGCAAATTCGCGAAAACAACTACCATCGAAAGATAAACATGATGCCAGTTATATTTTTCTAAAACAATAAATACTAATAGTCATCTATGATTTTTGCCATGTTTAGATTGCTATATAAGGGATGAAACACAAGTTCAGAAATAATACTACAATATAAAAATTTTGAAAAATGCATTTTTTTTTTTTTTTTTTAAGTTTGATCTTTTTTTTGTGCTTTCTAGTTATCAATTTAACAATGAATTTAAAAGCATAACATAATGTGTAATTAAATTACAATATTAGATTGAGATACTAAATACATTAAATTTATTTAATTTATAATGTAGTGTGAGTAGAACGGTAAAAAAATACATATTTAAACTTTTTTATTAGCTATTAATAAAATAGTTGCTATCAAATATTCTGTGAGGATAATTTTAAATGTTTTTTTTTTAAATAACTTTTGTTTATATGCATGCGCTTATTTTTCAATCACATCACTGTAATTATGTAATATAATAAATGTAAGAAAAATTAAAGTTTATACAAAATTCTTCGATAAAAAGCATAAATTGCGGAAACGAGATCCATTTTTAATATATCCATCATCTCGTTACATTAAAATGTATACTAATTTATGATGTGTAATTATCTGGTTCCCGAAAGGGGGTGTGGAACCACAGGAATGGAGCCGCACCGAAGTTTTTGTGGTCAACGCTGTAAAGAGTGTCCCCGTTTATGGACCGTAAACGCCGCTCCAACTGCGCGGCTTTACGCGCCGTTCTTATCTTCTCGACGTTTGTTTCCTACTTCGTATATCACCGGTGCCCCTCGCGGTATCATCACGAGCCTCTCATTAACGGAATGTCGAAAAATCGCAAATGCCGTGGTCACTCTCGGCGACTATACCGCGGCTTTCATCGTTCCTCCAAACGCATATATTGCGTTAAGAACATTTATAAGATGATATAAAAGTCAATTTAGCTAAACATGTTATCGCAACCTGGGCAATTTTTCGGATAAACTGCGATCATATTAAAACGTACGAACATAAATGTTCGATTTAGGATAAAATTAAAATTCTGGAAATATTTATACATTATGTACACAATATGAAGAATATTAAAAAGTATAATAAGCGACATCGGAGAATATTATTAAGAAGATGATAATTTAACATCTGCGATACTCATTCAGAAAACGAATTAGATGGCTCATTAGACAAGATAGTCTTTCATTGATTTATTCACGCGATATTGCATATGTTTAATAGGAAGCCTATGTGTACTTTGTACATAAATCATTATATTGTCGTAATCATGATGACATTGTGTATGTAGTAAGTAATGAGAGGCGCTGGTAAACGATCTAACCTACAATGGCAATGAAATCAGGGTCGTACGTACCTGGAAGGAACGGTGGTGTGGATGATGGGGATGATGAAACTGCGGTGTGTGAATCATGTCGCCGGTCTCGGGATCCTCGCACCTGGATGACTTCGCGACCTCGCCGTTACTCGAGGTGGTGATGGACGCGTCGTCCTCTGCACTTGCGGAGTCTGCGGCAGTATCCTCTTTCTTCTTCTTCTTTTTCACTTCTGGCTTTGTTTCCTAATAATCAATCTTTACATAGTGATCATGACATCGCTAAGAACACGACATAGATCACGCAAGATAAAAATATCTCAGCGTGCCATATACAATGTATATTAATGCGCTTTTTCGTCGACAAGAGATTTCAGTTGAACAAGAACTTGTTACAGAAAATTATAACTTTATAACCGCAATAAAAGGTATCTTATACTTTACGTGTTTGGAGAACACGCACACTCTAGCCAACCCGTATAATCCAAATATAACTTTATTATTATTATATTATTATTATATAACTTAAATGGAGACAAGGAGTGAGAATGAAAAAGTTTCAAATATCGTTATCAAAATAAAAACTGAAATAATTTTTGCTGATCTTGAGTGAATATAAACAATAAAAGATTATAATTAATCACAGAAATAATAACATTATGAAAATTATTTGCAGAAATAAAAGCGAATAATATTTCACGTTGTTACAAACGACTAACTTAAAAACAAACGAACTATTAATATCGCTGATTTTTTACAAAGACAAATTATAGTTACTTTCTTAAGTAGAAGATACGAAGATATCTCACAAACCTCTGGTTGAGCCTCATCGAGGCCAACGAGCTGAAGCGCCTCCTCGAGATTAAATTCGTCGGGCAAGCCTAGAGTATCGTTGCTGAGCAGGCCCTCTACGCCAGTATTTTCCAAGAGACTACTTCCGAGTAATTCTGATGTAAAGTCATGCTCAAGTCCTAGAGTGTCGTTTAGACCCAGAGAATCATCGGTTAAGTCAGCCAAGGGATGATTGTCTAAAGCCAACGATGCTTCGTTGAGAAGCGGACCGTCCTCTTCGATAATGCTACTTCCACTTCCGTTCTGACTGCCGGAGCTGAGAATATATTCACCTGCAAAGAAGTAGATGTTCGTAGGAGATGAATTAATCGGTACTTCACTAAATCGATCGTCGATAGCTATCGGTTCACGAAATGAACGGGAGAAGAAAAAGCGTTTCCGACGCTATACGGTTCATCGCGAAAAATACGCGTGCCTCGAAACGACGAGATAATTAAACATAAAAGAACGTAAACAAGTTCGCGTGTATTTGCAAGGTTCACGCAGAGATCACTTCAATCTCAAGAATATTTAATTAGTTGTCTGATTGCATAGTATGTTACTCAGGAATGTTTCTCATTGGCTCTATTGTGCAATTTTATTCTGACATGTCATTGACAAGTGTTATTATAGATTTCCTTGCACGCATTCCATAATTTTCATTTGCGGTAAGGTAGCCGTCATAGAATTAACATTATTGCGAATGTCGCGATGTATATTTATATTATTATTTAAAAGTTTGCTAACGCAACCGTATAAATATTTATGTGCATTTGTATTAATGATAAAAATCGCTTGTATTTCTCTGCGTATCTCTACGTATCTCTACCTATTTACATCGTTAAGAGTTAAAGCGAATAATGATCATTGCGCGTTTGCATTTTAATCGTGTTTATGTTTATGTAATATGTGGTATTTATAGTTAGGAAGTAATACTCATGGATACATTAATTATAGTACATTCACATGAAATAATTATTTAATCTGTTTTTATCTAACCATTTGCGATATACGGTGACGTAGACGTTAGAATAATCCTGATTCTTCATTCCGAGAAAATTATTTCACCACGTATTTAAAGAGCTATTTATCTTTCAAATCACCATATTATTTATTGCACTAAAATTATTATTAGTCCAAAATATATCTTTGCTTTTCTTGTATCCATCACGCTATTAATATATATATATATAAAGCATTCAGCAGTATAATAATTAGTCAGCAGTATAATAATTATTTTATTATGTGTACGGGAGTTATCGTGAGAAAAAATAAATTCGTGATATTTTACTGTATCATAAACTTATGACTCGACAGGAACAGTCCGTTACGAAGCGCGGCATTTGAAAACTGACATCTAGCAACAGGCAGGTAAATTTTTTTTGGGAGGAAAGGGAGAGGAATTAATTGAAGCATAAAGGGATGTTGTTGAAGATCCACCTGCTGGTTTAAACAACCCTCATATGTTCCCGTCGTCGTTTCATCCCTTGCGTACGCATAAAAGATGACATGGATGAGGCTATTCGAATTATTTACGGTTTCTAGAATGCGTAATGGATAACTAAAGCCATATATATTATACTTTCATATATTTCGAACAGATAAATTATACATTTTTATATCCAAATAGTGAAAACTTTACGTTGAAAAATTATTCGTCTCTTTTTCGATAATTTAAATCGTTCTATATTAAAATATGTCCGAATAAAAATGCTATTGTTATTTGTAGTCGCAAAATAATTTTATACATTATAAAAATTAGTGTACAAAAAAATTATTGTTTTCTATTTATCATTTACGGATTAAGAAAATTTAATTTGAATATTATGCCCATAATTATGCACACTTCTATTTAATAAAATTAAAATATCGTAAATAAAAGATTAATAATTTGCATAGTATTAATTATATATTGTTGAGTATACATTCTGGTTCATGTTATAAATTTTGATAACTACTGTATAAATTTAAAAAAAAAACTATATTTAAACGGAACATAACTGAATATAGCGATATATTTAACTCGAACTTTACATGCTTTATTTTCATATTTATGGCATTATTTCACACGTGACTACAGAGAACACAGGTAAAAAAGCTTTTAAAATTTCTACCTGGTCTCTTGACAAAATGTCGATAATATCGAGCAGCTCGAGCGAGCTACTTCTACGTGTGAACATTTCCATCAAACACAAAAGCGTACTCCTTTTTCTCCCCGCAGCCGAAGCGCGCGCGATGTTATTAAAGATAATAATCTCATAAAATAATAATTCCTCTTTCGGGCACTGTCTGGGATCCAGGCAGGTCCGTCCGACGAAACGACGGACAGGTTGGCCGTAGAAGAGGAGGATTTTCGTCCTGCGCCGGCTTCTGCCGGTTAGTGCCGGTGCCGGTACGAAGTAAAGAGGGAGATCGCACCTTTTGGATGCCTATTACATTAACGAGTGGTGGCGGCCATTGTCTGGCCCAAATGCGAAGCCGACCGCACGATAATGGCCGCCTATAATTTGAGGGAAGTCGGAACAGCCCCTTCCCGTTCGATGTTAAAGCCTATTTAAAGCTCGGGGAATTACGAGGTGAAATTTCAGCCACATACATCGAAGAGTATGCCACGCGTAATTGGTACAAGTATAATTCTTAACTGGTGCAGCATAATTTTTTGTGACTTTTATCATCATGTTCTCTTTCTGCTTTTCTCTCTCTGCTATAAACAGGAATTTATAAAATGGAATTTTTGTTACGCTCTTATTCCCTCACAATAGAGATTTATTGTACATGTGGACATATTGAAGACAACAAGCGCCTTTCAATGCGATTTCTCTTTATTCTTCAATCAAAAGAAATAATTTTTAATAAATATGTAATGTATAAATATTCAAAGAAATTACAATATTTTAGATAGACTGGACTTAAATAAACAAAAAAAATGAAACAAATTTAAAATTATTGTTTTTTTTATATAAAGTTAGAAATTGGAAATCTCTCACTACAAAGTAGAATTAACATATCAGATATTTTTCATTTGATTTCATTTTTTGTCAACTTCACAAATGCGGGCGTACATAATATTTTATATATCTTACGCGTATAAAATTATTTTCCTCTTCAGAAAAATATATTGTAGCGCTGTTTATCACGTTCAAAGATAAAAATACGATATGTTTTTCTCAAACTGTGTTAAACTATCAGTTCGTTCCTGATCGTTTTAAGCGTTGCAATTACTAATGCGATTGTCGTTTCAAAAAGTAAATTCTCAGTTTTCCTCAACGTTCGAGATTCTACCGTCGGAATAGATTTTTCTCCAACTAAGCCCGTCGGGGAATTCGCCCTATCACGCTGCATCTAATGGCGCGGCCCTCCGGCTTTTTCAATTCCACGGCTTCTTTGAAGCCCGCGTTCGCTTTTTCCACGGCCACGGGAACGTCGACAGATCATTTCTCATATTTCGCGCGCACGCTTAACGACCATTTTCTTCCGCCCTCCCTCTCTTTTTCTTTCCCTTCGTCCCGACGATCCGCCGCGTTGGATAATAATTCTTGCATTACTCGACAGAATTTTCGGTGCCGACGATCCTCCCGTGCCGAGTACCGGGAACGCGCGCTTTCTCATCCGCTTCCTATTCGCTCGTAGACAGCGTATTCGACGCGTTGCCGGAAGAGAATCCTCCAATTCGAATGCGCCGGCACGATTGTCCTATTCCCGGGGGTAACAAATATACGTGTATGTGTTGCGACGATCTCATTCGCACCCCTCGACAATAGGTGACGTTCCCGATACCGGTTTACGATGTTAACTCCGGAACGGAATTTGACGTCTCATTTGGAGCCAAAGAAGCGCGCGAATTATCGCGCGTCACCTGCCGTGAACGATAAATTGTAATTGCGATCATCAATCCTGATCGATGCCGAACTGTCGGCCGTTTCGTCGACTCTTATTTCGTCGGACGAGTGTGCAAACCGGTCGATCAATTGGATGGACGCGTCCTAGATGTGTCTTATCATATCTCACGTTTCTTAAAAATTCCTTAGTTGATATTTTTAACTGAACACGGAAGTTTATTAGAAATTTAACGTGATCAATGTGTAAATCTTATAACGGTAAGATAATTAATAGTTTCAACAGTTTATTTTGAAGAATCTTTGATAAAGACAACTGCTGCAGTAATAATACAGAAATCTTAATAATATTTGTAATTTTATTAATCGGAGACAAGTACTATAATATATAGAATTTTATATCGTTGATTTTGTAGAAATATATTTAAGATAATAAATATATTTAAAATAATAAGCTGATCGTATAAAACTATGACTGTCAATTAGCCATCGCACAAATTTATATGAAACTTTCTACTCGGAAAATAATTGTATTTGCGATTTTTTCTAAACATTTGATTATGATTCTCATGACCATGCTTAAATCAGAGATATTTAAAAAATATGTATTTATATAATATAAATTATGATCAATTATAATCATCAATGTATATGTACAATGAAAAATATTAATTCTTCAATAATGATTAGAACATAATTATAATATTATAATGCAAAAATGTTTGAAAAATATCCAAAAACAAATATATGATCAAACAATTAATCGATTCTAAACTAGGCTCTCTCTCGTAAGCATTGTCAATGGCATGTCGCATCTCTGTTGTCAAATTGATGATGATTAAGACAAATTGTCGTTAAAGCAACTACACGTGCTCGCGTTATGTAATCCTTCAAGTCGCGCTTTCATATGATATAAATATAACCGCCTGGCGTTTCTCTACCTTTATCTACTACATACCTTATCTACTAGATTCCAATATCGTTGAAGAATCCGAAAAGTAATCCAAAACGCCGTTTCACAACAATAACCATAACCACAGCGATATTGTTCCAGTCACTAAATCATTTTGTAATCGCGGGCAATTATCAGAGTACGCTTATGCCCTTGCACTAAGCACTTTGTTTCATTTACAAAATCCGCGTCTCGAATAGTAGTATCGTTCTCCAAACTTTCATAGCGAATATTCCAATGGAGAACAGAATGTCTCTCTCTATACTACGCGAACAACTTGTCCGTACCCGGAACTCCGAAGGTATAGGGCTAATCCTCAGCGCGTCCTTTTAACGCCTTCAGATTTTTACACTGATCTTGTATGTAGATATCGCATGAATGATCTTAGATCATCATCATCGTTGTCGACCAAGGACTTCTGGCAGGAGACTTTCAACGGGGAGAAATTGCGAAAACTCGAAGCACACGGATTATACCGAGGATTGAACAGGGCATTCCCTTTATC